CACAAAATAGTTATTGCTCACTGTTTCTGTTGCATCTGTTTTTTCTGTTGCCATGGTGACGTGGCCTGTAATGGCAAACGTCTCAGTCACACATGCAGTACTAAGGCGTCATTGATATCAAAAGCGCGAGCCACAGAAATACAACTAGCTTTACAGGGCCAGAGACTTTATGCATACTCTTTGTCAGAGAGCTAGTAGAGAACGGTAAATCCCCTGTCCTTAATTTCCTGAGATAAAGGGATAGACCACCATGCAGGTGACCTGGAACTAGAAAAAATAAAAAACCTATGATGCCATAAAGAAATGATGTGTTTTGAAACAAAAACACACAATTTGGAAAGGAAGATTTGTTTAATTAGCTCTATGGTCGTATGTGATGGAAGATAAAGAGTTAGCAGAATAAATCGTCAATCGGATACCATTAATTTAAAGGATTAACGCAAATAATAATTTAATTTTCTTATATGGAAATGGGCGGATGACCTCAAAGTGCCAATTAATTCCGCATAACCTTGCCCTTAAAATGGCTTAATTCTGTAGATTGGACAACATGTTTAACCTTGATTTGGTATTATAAGCACTAGGACGAGTCACTTAAATTACTGTTCTGGCACACCATATCGGGTGAGTAAGAGTAAGAGGGAAAATGTGATTTTAAAGGCTAGCGATTCTTCTCAAAACTTAAATTTGTAGTGGGGTTCATGTGAATATGGCAAACATTTATTTACATTATAATGGCCTCGTGAGTAGTGTTTGAAATGTTCCGTAGAATTTGAATACCAATTTATATTAGTCTAAGTAGTTTAGTATGACCAAAAGGGTGAAGGATAAGTAATCGTAAGAAAAGGTGTAGAAAGCCACAAGATGGCAAACTTCCCTCCATAAGGAAGTTGTTTGACCTTGTTTTGGCAACTTGATCATATTGGTAGGAAGACTTATAGGAACGCACGTTGTCCTGAGCCCATTGTATGCATAATCATTTCCAAAGTCGAACCATGGACGTGGTACATTCACAGCCGTTTCGCCGGCATCGAAGTCGGCATCGTCAGTGAGTTTTACCATTCGTAGCACTCAATTACAACTCGTCAATGAAACAGGTGAAGCCGATCCTTTGACCAAACGTGTGCTAAACAGATATGGTATATCTCCTTCTGCCCTGGCCTATTCACATTTCCTATATCCTCCTATCACGCCTTCACTATCGTAATTTTTTACTTGCCTAATTAGATGTGGTACGGTGTGCCCTTTTTAGCGGCTTTCATGAGAACCCTCCGCACTCCACGCTAGCCAAGACAAGAAAAAACTACGAAGATAAACTGAGTTGAAAGGAATCCCTTGAGATAACATTGTTAGGGGGACTTTTATTTCGTATGAAGGTGCATGAAGAAGAGATTCGTTGGTCGATCTCATCAGATGAGGACGGATGGTTCTCGTAAGGCAGCCGTTTGGCTTTTATACGATATTCATGTTGACGCAGTCCACGAGACGTCCTCTCTCGTTTCGCAAAAACTGTGAGCTTTCGTTCATCATATGATGGACATCATCAGAGCTGGGTTTCATTCTTGTAAAAGTCTCACGTTAACACTAAAGCAAGAACACTATCCGGCTCTATCTTACTTCTTATATATACTCAATTAAGCCAAAAGAAAATTAAATCCTAGATAGATCGATATAGAGTAGTTTGGTTAATTATCTTTCATACTGGTCCTATTACTTTTGCTCGAGTGTGCTCGTGTGCGTATGTGTGCGTGTTAGCGTCTATATGCAATACGGTTCCTAAATCAGAGTTGTCAAATGTTTAATCTCTGGTTCTGTAATTATGGTTGGAGAGAAAATTAAGCAAAGAGCCAACATATGTTGGCTTTATATAAACATCTCTTCCTAACTAACCATTTTCTCTAATGATGACAACATCTAGAAAAGGTAAGGACTTATTCTCTTTCATTTCCATCGTGAACCTAATGCTCCTTTAACGCCGGTTGAGAAAATGTGCATCGATTTGCAGGCTCACCCATCACATTTATTATTACATGTTAACTTAATGTTAATAAAGTAAAAAAATAATGAAGATACACGAGTTTTATTTATTTTTCTCTCTTACTTACGGATAGTCATACTTGTGGTAGGGCGCCATGGCAAAATTTCAATTGAGAAAGGGCGCCGCGACCAGGAAAATTTGGGAACCAAGGCCTTAAGGGCATCCTTTAGCCTAGTCTTATGTCCTTCTTATTAGAGTAGAGTTTCGAGACTAT